CCGAGGGTATACCGACTGTCGGAGGAGGGGGTACCGACCGCTGAAGGGCAATATTCGGTCGGTAAAAAAAAACAATGCCTACCGGCCGTTGCTATTCGGTCGGTATAACAGCGCCAACTGCGCCAACAGGCCTTCCTACTCTGTCGGTAAAACAGACCAAAGTGAGCCAGAAACGGCTATTAACATCTACTTAAGTATAATGCGCGCCACCCTGTCGATGCACTCAGCTTCTCGCCTTAAAGATTCCCGGGAACGCGTTTTATGCCCGGATATAAATAAATCTTCTTCTCGCAATAATATAAGCACATTTGCTCCCCCCTCTCTCGGCTTGACCTAATCGGCGGACTCAATTTGTGTGTGTTTGTAGTTTTAAATGTCAGACGAACAAAATGACGTGTGTGTCAAATTAATACGGTGCGTACTTTTCGGTGGCGCCATCTCTTAGTTAAACCGGAAAGAACTTATGCATACACCTGGTATATACAAACTCTTTTTATATATACATATATACATGTTTATTTCAAAACGATTTGAATGTTTCATGTTCACGTCATCATAATCGCGCGGTCGGTCTCTCGACCCGATCACAGCGCTCATGTTAGATACTCGGATACTTAACATTTCTCTCTCGGGACGTGTAAAACAAATTGCGAGGAAAATATGTGTGTTCCTCCTGGTTAAGGATTAAAAGCTCGCTTTATAACGACTAATTCACCGCCCGAGGAAGTAGGCCGCAGCTGATTTTAATTGCAAATATATAACCACGCGCGTTCGAGTGCGCGAAGTATGACAAAATAAATCCATTTTTCCGCACGCCAGCGGGAAATTGCAAAACTCATTCTTTTGATTGTCCCACATATGTGCAAAGTGTTATTAAAATCTGAATTTTCCACTTGGAATACGTTCTCTCGTCAGACGTGCACGCGACGTGAAGATGTTATTTTATTACGATCAGAGAACGGGAATTCATTTATTTTATCATATCGTATTCCAATGTGAGTGTAATTTTTTGGTACAATATTCAAACATAATTCGTTCCGCGTTTTTTTCCTGTCTTTTTTCTCCCCTTTCACTTTTTCTTTTTTTTTCTTAACCTTTTTTTCCCTTTTTTTTAAGAAACATTCGTTAAATAACAGTTAAATAACGATTTACGAATCGTTAAATTACAATTACGTTTCCTAGAAAAAAAAAGGAAAAAATCTATTTGTTTTGTTTGAAGGGTACAAAATAGGTAGATTTTTTTCCTCAGTTTAGTGACGTGCATAATAGAAAATGACGTGGCACCTCACTAGTCAATATATAAAGATTTCGACCTATCCTAACCCGAAATTCATTCCTACCAACTTTACCCGAGCCTATATAAGGGCCTTGCGACGGAAACAAGACAGTTTCAGTCCGCTAATGGTACGAAACACTTGTACAAAATACCAGTACGAAACACTAAAACGAAACATCAGATCGAACAGTACGTCGAAGATGTCGTCCGCAAGCACGGATTTCTCAAGCTGCAACGAGCGTGTGCAAATCAAAGTATTAATTCTCGGCGAACGAGGCGTTGGGATAACATCAGATGTATGGAAATTCGTGGGGAATACTTGCGAAAATGTAAGCAAAGGTATCTTGCGCAAATCTGTACGTGTCAACGACAAGCTATACGAGTTGAACGTGTTTGACACCGTCGCCGTTGAAGAATTTGGAGGAACACCACCAGTGTACAAGGACGTCGACATGTGTCTTCTGATGTATGCAGCAAACGATCTGTGTAGTTTCAGAAACGTGACGTATTGGATATCCAAGTTCAAGAAAGAAGCGAACATTAAAAATGCAGATGCGTTCTCTTTCATCGTTGTTGGCAACAAGCAGGACGTCCCCGACTATGCCAGACTAATTTCAAGAAAAGAAGCGGATGATTGGTGCTGGAACAATACTCTTTGGCACTCAGAAATATCAACCAAAGAGGAGCCCACCATCAACCGAGTTGATCCATCTTCCGGATCTCCGGCAGCATTACAGAGTCTCGCTTCACGTATGACCTTGAGTA